AGATTTTGAAAGGAAACTGTATTTCAAAAAGAAAAAAGGTCGTTAACGCCAAGTAATTACCTATATTGCAGAAAAATGCTAAAAATTCAAAAGCCTAAAGCTCACATATTTTTCATTGTAATTAATACAGTTAAAAACGCTGTCTTAACTTCAGAACATGCGCACAATAAAAATGCAACAACCATAATTGATGCATACATAAAATAACAAAGATTCTGACAGTATTTTTTTTTTATTTCTTGTTATGCACGAAACTACAAATTGGGGTATCTGTGCTGTGCTCACAGTCTGTATCGAAACCCGATTTTAGTACTATAAGCCTGTAGACTTACTGCTGAACCATCGAGAGGGGGATAATGACAGTAAGGATTTATGACTTACGAAGTTTTTGTCATTAATATATATCTATATGTATATGCCCATGCATATACATTAAATATGCCATAATAATTAAAATTAAGTAACTTAATTTCGTAAAATTGTCAAATTTGATATTAGTGTTTTTATCGTTTTGCCTTTAGAAGAAAAGTTCAAGAGAACACTTCAAAGCATGAGGGAAGGCGTGCACCAATAACTTCATCGTGTAGTATTCCATTTGTAACGAACTAGCAACTTTTTCATAATATATATATATATGTTTATATATTCTGAAATTAATAAATTATATTTAATGGTATGTATACTAAATAAGAAGAACAGTGATAGAATTATATTGAAGTACTTTCAATACTTTTCTGCCGAAATACAGTACACGATAAATCAAGATTTGATGCACAAATTTTATTCAATCTACAGTTTCAACATATAAAGAATATTGTATAATTAAAAGAAAATAATAGTTATAGAACTAATTGATTATTTGTTTAAGATTTTTCGCGAAAAGCCGTTTCTAATATCTGGCTGATAAATTAAGCGGAAAAGCAGATGTTTAACAATGTTCATCGCTAACACTTGGTCTACTTTCGACTGACCGCCATTCTTATAACGCACCATGGGCCTAAAGTGCGGAGCGTGTTTTGCTGCAATGGAACACGAACAATAAACCTTTGGATTCACAATCCTGGCAAGCTAGACGTTAGGCCACGTCTCGTCCTACATACAGTTATAATATAACAATTTTTAACTAGATATTTTCTATAGGAGAAATAAGCATTTTGAAGAAAATATTCTTTTTACCCACACATTAATTAGAATTAAATACTTCATACAATACTTATTAAACGTTAAAGAAATTATTTTATGTCATGAAAAAGATTTAGGTTTGAATTGTTTGACGATTCACATTTAAACCGTTCATCTGTTTTGGAGGTGTGGTTTGACATCATATTTATATGATAACTTGCACCTTCTGGTTTCGATATCCGTTGCGGGCAGAGCATAGATAGTCCATTGTGCAGCTTTGTGCTTAACTACAAACAAATAAACTTTCTGGTTATTATATGATTTACAATATTTATGAGTCACGTTTGTTTTCGATACCCGTGGTTGGCAGACACAGATAGCCTTTTGTGTAGCTTTGTGCTGAACTACAAACAAACAAACAAATCAATTTAGCTGAAGTTATTATCATCAACTTCTGGATCATAACTAAAAATTAACTCATTAATTTAGCTAATTAAATACCCCGTTCTTGATTCATCATTTAGATCAGAGGGTGTGGAAGGGAAATTAAAGTGAGTCGGGGCTGGGGGCAAAGTTTACTTGACCGATCGAAGCGAGGGAATGTGCGCCACAGGTGCACCCATTACGGATTGAATTTTATGCATTCTACTGCTTTTCCTGAGAATAATTTTCACAATTTTGATGAATTTTTACCAGGACAGATTGAAAAGTGCATGTATGTATGTGGAGGGGGGGGGATCTCAGTTCTTACGCCACTATGGATATTGTTATTGCTAGCAAGGTTTTCAGCTGTAATACTTCGTGCAGTACTTTTACTGCTATTGTTTATATCATGGTGACATAGTCATCAGTAGCAACTTAGGACTAGCAAGATATACGTAATTATCATGGTGACATAGTCATCAGTAGCAACTTAGGACTAGCAAGATATACGTAATTATCATGGTGACATAGTCATCAGTAGCAACTTAGGACTAGCAAGATATGCGTAATTACCCTTTTATGCATTATATG